GGGGGGGGGACACGGCCCCCTTCACTCACAAAAAAGTACTTCGGTGAACAAACAAAAATACCAAGTTTATTCTTGCACTTCTCGTCCTGGCATCTGCGCCCCCCTTTCCTTCCTGCTTGGCAAAGGCAGCCGAGCCATCTTTCTCCACACAGGAAGAGCACCAGGAGTCAAGCGCTGCCCTTGCCGTGGCTGGGGGGGCGGGTGCCCGCAGATGCTCCTTTCAGCAGGTGACCCCCCCAAACCACCCCAAGCTATCCTGTTGCGGGAAGCCCGCTGAACGGCCGTGCATCCTCAGAAGGGGGGCTCTTCTCTGCAGCTTCAGGGACGGAGACGGCGGGGCTGGGATCTGCTTCCTGCTCTGAGCCAGGGAGCCCCAAGTCCAGGGGAAGTTGTGGGCCTTCTTGGGCTAGCCCCTTCTCCTCGGCCGGGGGGAGAACAGTCTCTTTCTCAGGAAGGACTGAGCCCAGGAGCTCCTGGAGCGCCTCCTCGTCCACGCAGCCAAGGCCTCCGTACTTATGGACCTGAGCAGCAGGAACACCTAGCAGAACAGGAAGAAAATGCAACGGTGGGAAGCCAGAACCCCCCATCAATCTCACGCCATCAAGTCCCAGAGACGCTTTCCGAGTCTGTCACCCCCCCTTCCTTGGAGGGGGTCTGGACAGCTGTGCACATATCCACCCACGGGCCAGTCATAGTTGTACAGAGCAACGGAGCGTGGCTTCGCTCCCACCTGTTTCCTTCTAACACTTCCTACCCTGAGGAAGCAAAGGCGACCGTACCCAGAATCTGTGCAATTTGGGCTGGAGGGAAGAGGAGCTGGAGACAGCGGTTGAGGTACGGCACCAAGTCTTGCAGGAACGCTGTGCAGAACTGAACAAACAGCTCCTGCTCTCGGCTACTGAACGCTGCCGCCTCAGCCCGGTGGAAAGCCAGAATAACCTTTACGCTCTGCCGAGAGAAAAGACACATTAGAAGCCTTTGCTTTGTAGGATTCAGAGCAACCAGATGAAAATTACCCACTATAAACTCAGATCGTAAACTTGAATTATGCAACCAGGCTGAAATGACAGTGCTTCTCCTCACAGGCATCACGCGACACAAGTAGTCAGAATCCCCTTGCCGCAGAGAGTCTGTGGGAGATTCTAGGGAGCCTAGCTAAAAACGGGGAGGACGCATTCAAACCCCTGCAATAGCCCCTACAACCCTTACTCCCATCATTGAGAAATATGGACCATTTTTCCCGGTACCTGGCTGAGCGTGTCCTCCAGGAGCGCTGCCACATCGGGGGCAAGAGCAACAGGACAGCAGAGACGCAAATCATTGAAGGCCACCAAGATGTTGTTGAGGAAGTGGGCAAGCGGGGGAGAGTCTAGTAGCACCAGGGGGGGCTGCAAGGTGCCTGGCTGTGCAGAAGGCATTGTCACGGAGATTGCACTACCCAGGAGAGCCGGGGCAGAGATCAACGTGTAGGAGTTCATCTCTTCTTGGAATTGTTCTACAGCCTCCCGCATAGCTTTCTTGAAGGCGAGGAGCACCACACGCTGAAAAATAGGAACAAGCTGGCCCCGGAAGTCCGCCCCTACCCGGCTGAAGGACAGGCCAAAGTACATGCACTGGCCCAGCAAAGAGTCAAGGCGGTTGCCCACACCACGCTGTAAGTCTCGCTCAAGAACCAGTAGAAACTCTGAGACTTTCTGCAGCACCCACCCATGGAAGATGGCGCTCTCATTGAGCGTGTCCTTCCCCAGGGGCAGCACCAGTGGCTCTTCATCTGCAAATATGGCACGATACTGCGTGACAATGTCAAAGAGATGCACGCGGCAGGCCTCTATAGTTTTTGTGATGTGCACGTAGGGATCGTCGTCAGGAACAGCCGCAAGGATGGAGCGCAGCCAGAAGTCTCTTGCCTGCAGGAAAGTGATGCGCAGTTCAGCCTCCGTGAACACGTCCATGCAGCGCAGGTAGCCAATGATGCGCAGGCAAGCAGGCAGCTGGATGTTGGTGCGCAACTGCTGGATCAGTTGGTTAAGCATGAGCTGTGTGGACTGGCGCACCTCGGCCACTATGCCCTGCAAAGAAGAGAGAAGCCGTTCTCACCCGCTGCGGCGGATGCTCTGGCAATGGACTCCTGAGACCACGCGAGAGCCGTACCTGGGCTCTACTTCTAGGCCACGCCACGGCGCCTGCCCGACGGCACGAGGCCCGGCCAGGGGCGCCGCCCGGGAAGTTCTCGGCACCAAAGCGAGCGGCGCTACCGAACCAGAACCGCCTCCTTCCCCT